CCCCCCCCCTCTTGACTTTTTTCAATTTGATGTTCATTCCCATCTGTGAAGCCTGAAGTCAACTAAAGGGCTAATGATAAATATCATAAAGCCTGCCATTTGATATGAATATATTTGTAATACAAACAGTAACGGCCTTAATATAACATATTTTGTTTAAATCTTAAATAGCATCTGATCCATCAATAAGTGGCTTCATTAAATGAGGTAATCATAGAACTTCAGCGTGCTTAACAGATGACCAAATTTGTTCAAAAGAATAAAAGAATGAAACTTAAATCGCAACGCAAACCTACCCGAATATCAGATCAATCCAATTATGGATATTTGCAGAGACATAGTCCGATTCAAGAGCTCCACGATGAATTCGGATGAACTCTTCCGGCGTGGAAGCCCAGGGTGGTAATTCAACGTCATCCACTTGATTTCCACCCAACTGTGGGCGACCCAAATCAAAATCTACAATAAAGCGCACCAGGAATTTCAAGCCGAATTTCCCCTACCAGATAAAACTTTAAAGAGGAAAGTGAATTTGTAGGAGTAAGTAAAGTGCATAGGAAGTAAGAAATGTGAAATATAGCAATTAACAAGGTTCATCGCGTAAAAAATCTCCACCCTGTTTTATAATTAACACATGTTTTCCTAATCAGTTGCCGCGGAGACGGAGCGGAATAATGACATGAAAAAAAGGCCTCGCGCAATATAACATGGGGCATTAATAGTAAAAGCCCCATGTTGATTACAGCTTGTCTCTAATTTAGTTGGGGGGGGGGGGGAAGGGAGGGAATACCACCTTCGTAATAAGGAAAGGGGTAAATGGATCGGAGGAACACGTGCGATAAATGGGCTGTGGGATCACACCTAAATGTCAGACCTCTTGGGTACTAATAATCAGGTACCTTTTTATACATGGAGCAGAAAGAACGTTGCAATGGCATTCATTTGCCAAAAAAGTTATTGCCATTGGGTACTAAGTCTAGTTTTTGCAGAGAAATGCCCAAACTCTCGCTATACTCGGTAAGAAGAGTAGGGAGAGAATAGACTAAATAACTGTCTGCGAGAAAGAGCAGACAGAGTGGAAGTTGTTACTGGAAAAATTAATCACCTTCAACTTACTTTCAATTGGCAGTAGGGCGAGGTTATGATAAATGAGTTTCAGGAGGGATAGAACCTAGTGGAGACACGTCGACGAGAAGTTTAACTTTAATGCTTGCGAAGAGGTTCAAAGAAGCCACTCTACGACTCAAAATGCAAGAACAATCTGGCATTATCTGCTCAGAAAGTGGCAAATTCATTGAGGTCACATGAGCAAACACCCAATTGCATCAGCTAGTCAACATCTTGGGCATGAAAGGATTCAAGACCGTGAACCAATCCTTGGTGAATGGTATTGATTATAATATCACACTAACTAATAAGATATATCTGCAAAAACTGCAAGTCTTATTACATCATGATTCTAGTCAATACAGAATTGAGCATGTTTCATGAAGCTGAAACGGTGAGAATAGAACGGATCGGAGTCTGGTGGATACGGAGAATGTGGTACAACCTTCTGATTTGTGTCCTGCATTTTTGGGAGGCAATTCTTGCTTTATGGTGGGGAGGGGGAGGAGAAGGGGTGAGGCATTGCCATGATGAAGAATTATTCCTTTTCTGCATGGTTAGCTTACATGGTTATCTTTCAATTTCTGATTGTTGGCAACAATAAACTCGAGTGTGGCTGCTCGCCTAGTTTTAACAATTCATAATGGATTATTCCACGAACATACTACCACATGATTAGAAGAAGTTTGCGAAGGATGAACGGTGGCTTAGATGTTAGAAATGAGGGCTCGATTTGGAGACAAGAGAAAGCTATAGCAAAAATCGATTTCTCGTCCCCATTATGAATTGTGTCAAAGAATGACGAATTCTTTGACTTCACGGGAATTAAATGCTCGATTTCTTAATGGAGCCCCATATATATGTGGCAAGATGGACATAAATTTTATAAATTAAAACAAAACAATTGAAGTTATGATTGGAATAATGCAAGATTTAGGAATAATAAGTATTAAGGTAATTTTCATGCCTCAATTCAATCTCCACATCTGTTCTATTACCTGTCCATCACTCAGCCTTGACCTTAATCGGATTTTGCAAAACTTCCTCTCCCCCCCCCCCCCCCCCCCCCCCCCCCCCCACCACTCCTCCGCCCTCTCCCTGTTTGCTCCATCGAAAATTTGTGACACATGGCCCTAGTCCTATCAAACGGACATACTGACACATCTAAAGGACATCACACAATCCCGTCTGAAGCGTTAGTCATGCCATTATGAGATCTGTTTTGAATATACCCTCATTGTGTCACAATTCCAATTTGCAAAAATATCACCTGATTTTCAAGATGAAACAAGTTTATGGACCACGGGAAATTTATGAATTGTCAAAAGGACAGTTCAGAGAAAGGTGGATAAACTTACCACACTCGCAAAGAAAGCTCTAGCAACCCTAGAGGTTGATGGAAACAGAGTTCCCTAGAGCCCCCCCCCCCCCCCCCCCCTCCCTCCAATGAGAATCCGGCATTCTACCACCCTTTATATCTACTTGCATCAACCAACATGATTGGCATTAATAAAGGAGTTCTCCGCGACCAGGTAAACGTGTTCATTTCATTCATTGAGCAAAAGAAACACTCTAAATACTCTATATTTTAACTAAAATCCTATCCGCCAAACCGAATGCGGTACTTTCAACAAGTGAAAGCTCGAACTGACTACTGAGTTTCAAAAACACCATTCACCTAGCTAATGAATAACTTAAAGGTGGTAGTAGTGGTAGGGACTGGAAACAGGTAAGACGTCGAAGAACATTCTTTACTTAAAAGCGAATGCGACCCAACAAAACAACGGCGAGGTAGAATGGCGAAAGGACATACCACGGTGCCTGTCTGATAGACGAAGAAAAGTGTCAAAACATTGCCCCATTTTAGTTGGGCATTTATCCCATTTGCTTCATACAGTTCCACTCTACCGACTTCTAGGCAATGAGATTTTATCCAGGAAACTCTAAATAAACTCATGATATTAAAAAGGCTCACTGTAAAATATGGTAAGAATAACTACTTATGTAAATCGATAAATGAGGTGAACTAAATGCGGGCACTTCAAGCACCTTTTAATTTCCTTTAATTTATTTTTCTGACTGTATAGATAATATGAGCGCATGCAAGAGACGCACTATTTTCATTCCGCAAAAAATCTGGGAAGTAGAAGAACTCCGGTATAAGCTCGCGGTTATCATAGGGACTGGACATAATTAGAGACCAGGCAGTTGGAATTGAGTTGAATTGTCGGTCAGCCACGTCAAATCTGAACGCAAAAAATGAGATGTATCAGATACGGATAGGTTTATAAGTTATTGAGGCAAGATGGTGGAGTTACCTTTGACCTTGCAATTGGATATGCAGACTTGTGAAGGGCTCAGTTCGGACAAGATAATGCATAACCCCTGCAGCACTGGAATAATGTGTTCCGTAGTGGAATTTGGAAATTTCTCCAGCGGGATCCTCAAAAGACTCATACCTACAAAGAATCACTCAAAGTACTAGTATTGCCTTAGCGACGGGAAGTCGGCTGTGCCTTAGAAGTTAACTTACTTCTCACGAACATGGACGGCGTTATCGGGATTAACAATGCCAATAGGCTTAGAGAGGTCACGGAAAGTGGTTGGTTCATCAAAATTCAGTTGCTTTGATGTATAGTCGGCCAAAATCCACGGCATCTATAGAAAAAAATAGGAGGGAGAATGCGTGGCCAATGTTATGTTTCCTTTATTGAAAAAAGCATGCTTGCTTTGTTTTTTTTGTTTATGCCATACAAATTGAAAATTCATAAGCAATTAATTAAAGTATCCCATAAAATTAAGCCATAGTTAAAATAGCAGCCTAATTGTGCGTGATATACCTTCAATGAGTGACTCAAAGTTGAACATTATTACTCATATAAGCTATTTGTGGTTGAATGTTCGAGGGAGCCCAGAGAAAGAACATTGTCGAACTGAAAGAAGCTGGAGAGTAACCGCAACTACTATTCTCAAATCACAAGAATATACCGGTATAGAGAGCATTCAATTGAATCTCAATAATGAGAAGAGCAGAGAATGTTCCTTTCCCATGTACTCTTAGCATAAGGCATGAAAGCTATTCACCCACTTGTCAGGGTAGCACCATGCAAGCAGATTTTAAAGGAAAACATGCATTGATCACTTAAACTAATTCTAAAGGTAACCGCCCATTCCGAGGGATGTGGGGTGGGTAGTTTTAATTCAAACTAGTGAAATTAATTAGGTCCCTAAAGTGGGTATTTACTTCCATATCTCGAGGGTGAAAAGAGGATAGAATGCTATTTTAGCCAAAAGAAAACACCTCGTTAAAGGCAAGACAACAAATGTCGCAATTTTGACGCGGAGCGTTATATGTCTTTGAAGTGGCTTAACAACAACGAACTAAATAAAAAAGATAATGAGTTAATGTAAATTCCTGAATGAGCTCATCTAGCAACACTCAAGTCGCAAGTAAGACAAACTCAAAGAAATTGACGTTTCAGCAAAACAGAAAACTTGATCGCCTTTTTATGCCAAGATTAAGTCAGGAAATAAAACCAATAACACTCGAAATAATGCGTATTTTTAAATTAATATATAACAAAATGATTTACATAGGACCTCAGAGTGAGAGAGAGAGGGAGAGACGCAAAGGTTCAACTCAATGACTATGGATGAAGGGGGGGAGGTTGTTTTATAATGGAGCGTGTATTCGATGGAACTACTAACTGTTTTAATACTCGATTTTATTGTGCCTTTTCTTGACAGTTAAGAGTGAAAAAAGCATGCCTGCAATGAATAGAATTTTTAGAAAAACCCCCCTATCTGGTAAGACTTATTTTGTTGTACCCTCAATTGAAATTTGGGTGGGGAGGGGGGGGGGTTTAGGAGAGAGAACGCGTTCAATGATTGATATTCTATTAGAAAAGAGGTGAGAGAAATTTGTATCATTAGGGTGAAATCACTATTTCCTATCTCGTAATCTTTTAAGTTGGTGGCAAAACTGCAGACTGTGGTTTGAGCGAAATAAACACAGAAGAAAACTTCCCACAGCTTTAATGATCCAAGGTATAATAAAGTCGAATGAAGATCTGCATACACATAGGCTTCTTTAGCTTGCCAAAATCCACATTTTTGAAGGTGGGTAAACATTACTGAACTTAGCTCTTATTTCCCCCATATAAGTAGTGTTTTGGCATCAAAACACTAAAGAGATTTCCATTTGCACTCGAAAATTGTATTTTATACCAAATATTCAAAATTATGCAAATACCCAAATAAACGAAATAATGAATTATTTTGCAACTATTTGCACATTCCAAACCAAAGTACCCCAGCGGAAACATTAACAAGAGCTCAAAAAAATTAAATAAAGGACGCTTGCATTGCTTTTCCCATTTTCATTTGGGGTGTGAAAGGGAGGAAATTGCACATTGAATAGGCTAAATGACATTCTCCTATCTGGGGTGCGTGATAGACTTACCTCCACGTGGTGCACCCTGGGCAACGTTTACTCATACGGCACAAATGTCTATTAACTGGCGATTGATTTCTGGCGCAGTACTCATCCTACCTTTTCTCTGCCTTCATATCTGTCTCTTTACATCTGTAAATCACTCTTCTGTTCCCCACCCCTCGACCTAGTGATAAGAGGATTGGTCACTGCAAGCATGCTTGTGAAATACTTCTCATGCACGTTATCTCGAAAGGCGCCTGTATCAGCGTTTCTTCCATAGAGGTACTAATCGGTGAAATGACCCATACTCATGAAATCTTCAAAAAATAAAAGTGTCAATATGTTCTAATCAGCCTGGCGTGGTTGAAAAAAAGTTCGAAACACGACAGTAATGCTTGAATCATGGGGTGTGCGATAGACTTACCTCCACGTGGTGCACCCTGGGCAACGTATACTCATACGGCAAAAAGTCTATTATTCGGCAGTTGACTTCTGACTAAAAAACTACCATGACCCCACTCTATGTTATTTTGGACCACTTCCATAGTACTCATTTTACCCTTTTCTCTACCTTTGTGTCCGTCTCTTTTACATCTTTAAACCAGTCTTCCGTTCCTCACTATCGACTTTTTTTCACTTTGATGTTCCTCCTCCCCTCTATGAAGCCCGAAGTCAGCTAAAGGGCTAATGATAACTATCAAAACGCCTGCCATTTGAAATAAATAAATACATTCTCCTATCTAATTACTATTAACTTTCTATAAATGTATTTAAAATGACAATTATGATCAGCACGAGGTGAGCGATAGACTTACTTCCACATGGTGCACCCTAGGCAATATATACTCATGCGGCAAAAAAGTCTATAAACAGGCAGTTGACTTCTCACTTTAAATTACCATGACCTCCACTGTATATCATATTCGACCACTTTCACAGTACTCATATCACCTTACTTATTTCTCCACCTTTGTGTTCGTCTCTGTTACATATGTAAATTACTGTTCTGTTCTGTCTGAATTTTTATGACTCTGATGCTCCTCCCCTCTATGAAGCCTGAAGTCAACTGCATTGCTTGTGATAACTACCAATAAATAAATGATTGACATCACCATACACTCTAGGTGCAAGACGTCAGGACAGAAGAGATCAAAAGTAACTGATGCACATCAAGTAATTGAAACGATCGAACTCGATCGATAATCAAGAAATTCTGGTTTTTTTCCTTGCAGAAGTTGCCCACAGTATGCTTCCAACCTGTTCATTGAGGAGTAGAGAAATGCAATTCACATCAATGAATTTAGGCATTAAAGACGGCAAGTTGTTACATAAACAAGTCAATCCAGCCTGAGACACAGGGACTAGAACAACAGGTAACGCTCTAAGTGGTGATCGGGCACTTAACTCTTCACTGAAATACACATAATGCATTTAGAAACGGCTTTTAACTTGTTTTTTTCACCAAAATGCATTTGGAGAGGATTTAAAAGTAACAATACAATAACAATAACAATACAAAATAGGTGAATTCGTAAATAGAAAGGATGAAAGGGAGGTTATTTGAGGATGTTGACGCTCATTAACAGACTTGAAAACCAAAAATATTGGAATTCCTACTTACCTCCTCGTTCAGGCACTTAGTCTACGACAAGTTTTGAGAAATGAAATAGTGATGAGATTTGAAGTAAAAACGGTAAGAAAATTGCAATTGGTAATGGTATTATCGATTATGCTTAAATTCGAGATATTCCAAAGCCTTTTTACAGCAATCTCCGAGGGAGAATTAAATAACTTCTAATCAACTGCTGGAGAAGTAAAATGCCTGTGTATCTAATAATAAGTATTTTCGGATAAGCTAATGGTTTAGTGAACAATTCTGACAGGAAATCTACGATGTTAATAGAAGGTGACAAACCACATGTCTTAATGTCGATAAGAATGAAAAGAAGCTAAAAATATTTAGGAAAGTCACTTTTAACTACCTTAATATCCGTTGAATGATCTACTGTTTCAACAATAGCATATTCATTATTCTGCAATTAGTGTCATTATCTAGTAAAAGCGCAAAAGTTGCCACTATCATAAATGGGAAAGGCATCTACACCCCCGGGGGGGGGGGGGGAATGNGCCTCCCCCCCCCCGGGGGGGGGGGGGGAATGACGAAATACCCCGATGAAATTGGGTGAGGGTGGGGGGTGGGGGGTAAATACGAGAACAGATTGGAGGTGTAATGTGAAAGATCTCCATAATTTGGGCCATTCTATATGTCGTGTTCAATTTTTATAACATTCAAATATCATGATTTGATCACGGATTTTTGAGTGAGTTCATGTTCACGTTGCTTAGAGATTATTGGTCGGTTAAGTAAATGGTGGCTGGTCATGCGTTTTCCGATAGCCAGAATCACCATGGGTTACTTCTTTAAATGGGCTTTTCTGCAAGTAATCTAGATAAATTTTAATTTAAATATGAGTTAGATGACAAAGTCAGCGTCAATCTCAGATCCAATGTTATTCCATTTACCTGAGAGGGCTGGATCATGTTAGCCCCTCTCTATCTTTCTCTCTCTTTAGCGATAGGATGAGTCATATAGCGGAAGTAAATATGCAACACACAAAAAACTTATAGATTTGTTGACGGCAGATAAGGCATCATTAACAGCACAACGAGGCTAATACGTTGAAACTCCTTTAAATTGTGCTGCGTGTTGTAATTTTGAATAAAGTGAATGGAATAGAAGTGACCAAAGTCATATTGCCATAACTTTAGAATTATTTTCCATTTATCCACAAAGAGCAAACGTTAACCTTTACAAAGTATATCCCCATTAAGAAAAACAAAATACTTATTGATGAATAACACGCCCTGTTTGAAGATTGACCGATGACTCTAACCTACGTGGTAACTGGAGCTGACAAATGTTGTATCTATTTCAATAGCAGACTAGACAGATGAATTCCTACCTGAACTTCACACAACAGGACGAGAATTGTTAATAGTAAAATAATGAATGTAATTGGAAAGGAATAATGGATTTATGCCTATAAGAGGGAATTCTAGGAACCAAGATTGCCTAATGCAGAGGAAGCCAGGACGTGGAAGGGAAATATCACATGGGTTAATGAGAACTACGCTATGAATCAGGGCATTCTTTACTAATTTGTCTTATACCCACGTCCCCATGTGTTGGTATGCATGCGAAATGCTGAGACCTGTCTCGTTTGAACGAGACAAGACCAAACTAGGTCCAGCCTTGTAGCAACGTCTCGTGCTCTTCACCTCAGACAATGGCTAATCTGCCTAACACTATGGGAATAATGACTATATTTAGGAGCTGTCCTCGCTAATGGCTTGACGGTGCCTACTGGCTATAATGTGCACCTAATGCCCCCCCCCCCCCAGTCCGAACAAAGGGAAAAGACCCGCAACTGCTTGGACGACTGTAGTTACGCGGGATTGACCGGATTGACTTGATCCATTCGTAGGCACGAGCGTGGAAGTGCATAAGTTAAATAACCACTTCTGTGCCCCGTCAAAATCGACTTATTGGACATATTAGAATGCATAATGAGTTTTTGAAAAAAATAATTAAACATCTGAAAAGTGAAAGGATTTCACTTCTTTTCGCTTTTAACACCTTATTGACTCGCACTTAAGTGACGTACAAATAGGTCAAACTAGAAATTCTTTTATTTCAACAAAATCTAATTGTACTAACCTCCAAAATTTCTTAATAACACGTTGATCATAGTCAAAGAGAATAATTGATGTAAAAGATAAGCCCTAATTTACCTGAATCACATTACATTCAACTATACACAAATTTTTAAATGAAACAAAAAACAATTTAAGAACATACCACTGGATACTGGCTGAGGTCATTATACGTCCGACCAGCAATCGTATTGAGTCGCATTAAGTACTCAAAATTCGAAATCTCCCTATTCGCCCAGCGCTAAAACAAAGTAGAGAAGGTCGCGCGTTAATGAATTCCATACATATATTTACTGATCATTTTTCGCATTAGTACCAAATGAACTCTACCTCTACATCTCTCTCTCTCCCTCTCTCTTAAAAGGTTATGTAAGAGAATATTTATCATGACATACATATTTCCGTTTGAAGAGATATTAATTAGACGGCAGCGCACCAATATATTTCGGCAACTTGTTCAATTTGTCGCCAGAATACCCACACTCGCCAACATGAAATTATTTTTCCATTCCTTAAGCGAGGTGCAAATGCCCAATTTCTCCTTCCAACTCCCATAGGTAGGTCACACACACATTAATTAATCAAACCCTGTTACATGCTCTCTGGCTCTTTATTCTAAGAGAGTATCCAAATGGTGATATTTAAGGATGTACAAAATATCCCCTTGAGGGACCTTTTGTGGCGGAAGAATGCATACATGGGGAGGGAAGGTGGCGGGGCGGGGCGGAGTGTGATAATAAGTACTCCCATCTCCTTTCTCTTGTGTCAGCGTTGAAGGAAGGGATGAATTATTACATAGTGAATCGCCACACTCAAGGAAAAGGTTGCGCAATACCTATTTGTGTGGTATTTTTGATTAGTCCCATTTTCGTGAATGCGACACAAGGAAATACCTGCAGATGATAGCCTAAGAAAATTGGATGTCACCTCGAGAAACACAAATCCAGGTGCCAGAATCAATTCGCTACTATGTTATTCCGATAAAATTTCGTTACCATATTTTTGGGTGAGGATTGACTTGTGTGTTTGCGGTGTCCGTAATCGGGTTTATCGGAGCTACTTAGAGGACATCTATTTGGAGAGTACCAACTAAGTAGTGAGCGAATTTGCCAAATAGAGAAGTTTTTCTTCAAAGGTTTCACCAATCTGGCCTGGTAAAGACCTCCGGGAACCCAAAGTAGTGCACCAAGAATAAGACTAAAATTTGCCGAAGCACATTGTCAATCGAAATCCAGATATTTTCCAATTTAAATCCAATCATAATCATTTCAAGTATATGAAGGTAACTTCCAAGCCAATTTCCACGTTCCAAATGGGTGAACAATTTCCCAAGCCGTTTAAGGAAGTGCCAACACTTGGATAGAACACATAGAATAAATTGTGAGGTCACTCTTATAAGAAGCACGCATCCATACTACAAACTTTCAAATACACGTCGATGAGTATCTCTGAAGTGGCAGACGTATTCTACCTCAGAATTTCAGTTAATTTAAATTCCTTGAACTCCTCTGGCAGACTTGCGTATCATTCTTTACATAAACTAGCTCAATATGTCGACTAGTCACCACTTAACAAAACCCCCATGATTAGTTAAGTAATAAACCTGTGTCGAGATTTCAGTTAGCGGAATAGAGTTGATGATGAACATTCAACTTGAGTCAACTTTTAAAACTTTCATTCTACAACGATTAGGTAATAGCATGCATACAAGAGGCTGTCTTACCACCCCCCCCCCTCTCCCAACCACACCCATTATACGGTAAAACTTTCAAATATTAGTGTTCCCAACATTCAAATGAAGAAAAATTAAAACAAAGGCAATGAGTTTTTCGAATAAAATTTGTTGCAAGAGAAAACGAAATTCTTCCCTCCAATTCAGAAACTTTGGGTGCCGGTATTATATATACGTACATACATACGTACCTACTAGCTTAAAATCTCCGCGGATTTCATGAATCATCCAGGTTGTGAGAAAAACTGATGCAAGAAGTTCACAACTACAAGCTCCGCTCTTAGGGAAAAACGAGTCTTATCACAGAAAAGAAGAAAAGTTCCGGCTTTTTGCGAGTGCGTTTTTCCTTGGTTAAAGCACTTTATGCCATTGAAGGCGATAATTGCCAGCAGGCGTACACAGAGTTATAATGGAATCTATCAACTTAGGAAAATATGGGAAGAAGTTTGTCGATTTCCGAAACTACTGCTCACATTTTGGTTAGAGGTAATTACCAGCAAACATGCACTACTCATAGCAATATGAGTAGCAGACTATATGCACATTCATTTCATTGATAAGCCCTAAGCTACCTCATTCTCGGCCTAGCGTATATTATGGCTCTCAAATGTAAAGAACACATAAATTCATTATGTAACTTACTGATAAGTAAACAACTTTTAGTTTTCTAGCCACCAAAATGATGATAAATAAAAAGAAGGAAAATAAATATTTATATTTCAGTATATTGAGAAAGTGAACTAGGCTATGCGGATATAGATAAGAGGGAACCGATTGGCTACCTGGTTGGGTAATGACCGAAGAAGTGATAAGATTGCCTTCTCAGAATCAATAAATATTATTATTATTTCAAACGGCAGGCTTTGTGATATTTATCATTAGCCCTTTAACCTTGACTTCAGCTTCCCCCAAGGGTGGGGGGGATGCATTTATAGCAGTTAATTAATAGCAGTTCATTAGCTGTCTTCATGCTTCCCAGTATCTCTGGCTTTCCGTCGTTGTCTTTAGGGCTGGACATCGAATCAGGTGGATATTCTCCATTTCCTCCTGTAGGTTACATAGAGGGCATGTGGGTTGAGTGTATACTCCCAATCCGTGAAGATGTTTTGCCAAGCAATCGTGTCCGGTACGTAGTCTAAACTCAGCAACGGTTTCGATTCTTGGCCAGTCGGCTATATCGGAGAGTGCCACTGTCCACTATTTCTCCTTTGTTCGAGCTTTAAGTTCGTTGCACCTTGAGGTCTTGAATTCTCTCCTGATTAAGGCCTTCATTGTGTGGAAAGACATCAGCCGGTCCATGCAATGCAAAATCGTTGTCCCCTTCTTAGCAAGTGTGTCAGCAAGCTCATTACCTTTAATGCCACAGTGACCAGGAATCCATTGTAGGACCACTGTTTTGTTTTTCTCTCTCAGCAGCTCATAGAGTTTTCTACATTCCTTTATCTCAGCTGTTTTGAGTGGCTCTCTGTTTACAATTGATTTTATTGCTGACTGTAAGTCCGAAAGTATCACCGCTTTGGTAAATTTCGTATCCAGGCAACATAATTGGCATAGCGCTATTCTAATGGCCTCTATTTCTCCTTCAAGGGCGGATCTATTGTGTCCAGATGCTGCGTAGAAAGAGAGGAGTTCAGAATAGACACCTGCACCAATGTTTGCTTGGTTTTCTATGTATGACCCATCCGTGAAGACTTGGAGCCATTGATCTGCAGGATAGTTGACATTGATTGTCTCAAGGGCCAGTGATCGCATTTGTTCTGGAGGGGTGTTTGATTTCCTGAAGAAGTCAAGCAGTTGAGTGCAACACACTACATCAATGTCTGCTAATGGGTTCATGGGTAGAGGGAGGCTTTTTGGTTTGTCATCGATTTTTAATACTTTCTTCAGTTCTATGACTTTCTGTATCAGACCAGATTGCGTTTTCAGATGTCTTGGTCTATTCTCATAGGTGCTGAAGAACTTATCCATGGGAATGCGCAGTAGATTCTCATACAGGATCAAGGCCTTTTCTTTGATAAGGGAACATATTGTGGTGCTCCCTGTAACTAGGAGCATTGTAACAATGGGTGTTGATTTTATCCCTCCAGTAATTAGTCATAATGCCTAGTTGTGTCCCTTCTCGAGTGGTTTGAGAGTCACCTCTGTGGCTGTAATGAGTGGCTCACAGCAATACAACATTATTGGCTGAATAAACATCTTGTAAGTGGTGTTGAGAGTTGAGCGTGCACAGCCCCATACGCTACCAGCAAGACGCTTCAGTACATTCAGTCTATTGGAGACTCGTTCTGCTATTTTAGCAATGTGACTTTTCCACGTTAGCTTTGTGTCAAACGTCATTCCAAGATATGTGAACTCATTGGTTTTATCTAGGGTAGTATCCTTGTACCTTAGAAGCGGGTATATGCTGTGACGGGCCAGAGAAAATGTTTGGAATGCAGTTTTCGCGGTGTTGATTACCATTCCATTGTTGTCGCACCAGTTTGCTAGTAGTTTAAGTGCACAATTTAGGGCACTTTCTGTCCTCTCCTGAGCGTTTTTCTTAGGGGCGGAATACCATAGAACAAGATCATCTGCATAAAGTAAGCACTTGATGCCCGTGACTGTCTGTACCGATTCGGCTATGTCATTGGTGAAGACATTGAAAAGAGTGCAGCTTGTGNTACAGGGTGTAACCTGGGAAGTGGTAGTACTTCAGTTTGTCGTCCGAAATATTTACTTCCATAATTGTGAAAATTTCGACATCATAGGTATGTAGGATTTTCTGGACAGGGATCTTTTTGTCCTGTGACATCCCTCCAGCATTCCACTGGAAGAACTGAAGACTTTGTGATTCGTCCTGACGAGGGCGATTTCTCTTATAGCCTTTTTTAAGCTAATCATAATAAATCGAAGTCAAATCAAATGCGCGAAAATGATAGACTTTTTTGCCGTACGAAGATACGTTGTCCAGGTGGCTAATCATAATAAATCGAAGTCAAAAACGAATGCCGAGTATAGACTTTTTTGCCGTAAGAAAATACGTTGTCCAGGGTCAGATTTTTTGCCGTAAGAAAATACGTTGTCCAGGGTGCACATTGACTTTTTGCCGTAAGAAAATACGTTGTCCAGGGTGCACCTCGAGTGATATACTTTTTTGCCGTAAGAAAATACGTTGTCCAGGGTGCACCCACCATTTTGCCGTACGAAGATACGTTGTCCAGGGTGCACCACGTGGTAAGTCTATCGCACACCCCAACTTATATTTATTGATTCGGGTGCATCCAGGACAACGTAAACTTATACGGCGAATAAGTCAATAAACCGACAGTTGATTTCTCACTTCAAACTACTATGACTCCACTGTATGTCATATTCGACCACTTCCACAGTACTCACCCCACCTTACCTATTTCTCTACCTTTGTGCCTGTCTATCTCTTCTACATACGTGAATCGCTCTTCTATCCCCCCTGTCTCTCTTTTTCTCGACCCTTTTTGACTTTGATGTTTCTTCTCCCTGTGGAGCCCGAAGTCAACTAAAGGGCTAATGATAAATATAATTAAGCCTACCACTTCATAGAAATAAATATGAGTTAATAACATTGCTCAGGTGCTCTAGAAATATTCGATTGGTCTTTCTTCCAGAAATCATCGATAATTTAAGAACTTATTTCAGGAGGAAAAGACGTGCAAACGTTGTGATATTCTGCCAGACGTTTATAAAGCATTTGCCTAATGGACCAAAATTGATGACAGACAAAAAATTTTCATTTGCTATTCTGTTCCCTTGCTCGATGTTGTTTAAATTAACAGATTCTAATTACTCAATTCAATACTTCCTGCAAATGGCCACAATGCATTCTTCCTAAGTCTAAATTTAAATATCCACGCCTTCCTTAATAAAGGCCTATAAAATTTCATTGCTAAAGGTGTGGTTTTAATAAATATAGAGATAATACTTACCTCCATTAATTTGGAGTGCTTAAACACTTCCGCTGGACTTCGGCCCTTTCGATAGATCAATTGCGGCATTCGATGGCTCATTATACAGGTATAAACTTTGTTTCGCAGCTAAAGTACATGCCAAAATAAGGCGAGTTAATACCAATATGTCCCTTGGAGATCTGGCATATCTCAAGCGATTTTTACTCACCTTGCCAGGAAAGTTGAACAGGAAATTGCGATGGTCAATAAGAAATATTTCTAAACCTGAACGCCGAAGATTATAACGACACAAGTGGACCTCTCGGATTTCATTCAAATTGATTATAATAGAGAAGTCCTTCATAGCTTCGATTTCTCTAAACTTATCTGAAATTGACATTGAATTCTGTAACTCCATTTCAGGAGCAGAAGAGAGGAGGGAAATGTAACTTTTGACCACATACCGTTACCAGCAACATCAGATGACACTGGTTCGCTATGATTCTGCAGGAAGTGCAGTGATGTTGGTGTAACAGCAAACCACCCTGGAACACTCCTGACAAGTGATATGAGTTGACAACTAGCTCTCATCACTTCCCCAACCAATGGAGCAGGTTTCTCAAAGGAAAGTGGAATTGGGGATTCATCATCACCTTTACCTTCTTCTCCTTCCTTATCTCTTGATTCATCGGCCCCTTCTTCGCTCATACCCACAAGCAATGACTTATCGCTCGGCTCTGTGGATATTCCACTAGGAGAACAAACTTCTTCCATGTCCTGTTCCGAATGGTCATTATCATTCGATAATCTTGAAAGATCAACACTCGATGAAGATTTCACACTAAAATTAAGATCGCATTTAAGTGTTTAAACAACTTACTCATCAGACTTCTCAGAATCGTCGAATTTAATCAACTTCCAGTCCTCGTCGGCTACGAAATCTCCTCTAACGTCTTTTCTATCAACTAACGAAGCTTTGTGTAATCTTTGCCTAATGGAATCCAGTTGATCGAGAGCTAATGTCGATTGGAATTCAATGGATTCCATAGAAAATCTTCTCAACGTGGGTTGCTTGTCACAATTTGTCGCATCGAGTGAATACTTCGCCACTGGCCTTTTACTGCCCCTAAATAGGAGATCAGCATTTTGAAGAAAGATTGAGATCTTCCTTTCCGCTTCTTCAGCCGTTGTTAAATTCTGAATTAGTTGTTCGCCACCTTCTAAAGTTGAAAGTTGGCAAATAAGGCCATCTCGTTCCTCGCTTGCTGAAGCATACTTGGAAAACCATGGATTCGGTTCAAGCATATTTCGAATTCGAAGAGTTGTTTCTAGTTCCGATAGGCGCCATCTAATCTCTTGTGGGAAACTGAAAAAAAGGATCTGTTAGCTGTGAACGTAAAGAAATCGATACAGTAATTAATTGTCAAGAACGTACGGCGAATACCACAAAGAAGTTGGGAAGCCTCTGACAAACTCAAATCTCACATTAAGCCATCGATTTTTTCGGATTCTGGAGAGCACTTTCATTTCTCTTTGTAGCAGCTGAATATCAAAAATCTCTTCACTCGGTAACCGTGAGTGCCATGATTGATTTGGTTGTTGCAAAGCTGAATCAAATCCAGAGAAGGTAAATTTTAATGAACGAGATCCCATTGAACCTCTACGGAGCTCGTGTCGATGTTGAAAGAAAGGTGGGTTGTCCGTTGACGTGTGATCTGCAATAATCAAGCCTGGAAAGAGCTCAGACAACTTTTGAGTAGCTTGTGTGATCTGATGAAAGCGTTCTTTTCGAGCTTTTATTAGCATCTCATTGGCCAATGCACGAATTAGGCTCTGTTCTGTGGAAGGACTGACTATGTAATTGCGAGTATAAGTCTCCACTTCGTTGCGATACTAGGAAAAAGAAGAATGGAAGCTCGAAGTCAACTCAAGGGCTAATGATAACTATCAAAGCGTCTGCCATTTAAAGTAAATAAATTTCTGCATTGCCTGAATAAACAGGCTTTAATACAATTACATGGGTTTGTGCTACTTACGGCGCCCAAGAAGGATTCTCGCCATTCATCTGGGTATTTACTCAAGTACGCTCGGAATTCAGTGATAAAGTTAGCCGAATGGTGGGGTAAATGTGGAGCCAGGTAATTGACTTCCAGTTTATCATTGTACTTGTCAAACAGAGCTTTAATAAGAGGCGAATAGAAGAAGTATGCATCCGAGTTCCATATAGAATCAGCGTCATCATTTTCATGATCCGATCGAAACATCAAATCAACGCCGCTTGCAAATGGTATTATGTTTTTGTCATCGGATGTAGAATAATTACAGTTGAAGGATCGTTGAATCATATCATTGATTCGATAGAGCAGAAAGATAATCTGGAACATAAACGAAAAAAACACCATTATTTCGAGAAGATTATTGGAGAATCATGGCTATACTATGGAAGTGAGCTTTCGACAAACCCTTTCAAATGATATATCGGGATTGAAAACACATATGGCATCGTGAAGAAGTGCGCAGGCTTGAGCAGCTGCCCCATTGTCAGGGAAAGCACCCCTGGAAGCCCAAGTGAGATAAAAGTGTAGAATCATTGCAGCAAATTCTTCTGAACGAGAGTTAACCTCTTCCCATACTCTCAAACGCTCCACCACCAATTCGTTTAAGTGATCCAATAGCTATAAAATATGCAAATTCATGTTACTGACAAAAAATAAGTAACCTTCACTTAAGTTTTAGTTAATCCTGCTACTCGTTTACCTCAGTTCGGAAGTCCGATTCGATGAAAACTCCACGATTGCAAGTTTCATCAATAATCATACCAATAAATGGTGTTATTGCGGGATAACTACTGAGAGTAGGGATTTCTGCAAAAAAAACAGCAAAACATTGTGATATCGAGACTTCTTTGATTTAAATTCAGATGAAAATGAAATCGAAATAAACAATAAGAAGAATTTCAATTAATACAGGAATGAATATCATGCCTTCTATGAGTAGACACTAGATTAGGATGAAATATGTGCGATTTTGGCGCATAATTACATTTTAAGATTCTTACCGGGAACACTTGACCTAATGAGCTTGTGTTTTACTGCAAGTATAAGATCAAAATTTACGCTAAAGATTCAATTGTACAAAGTTAGGTGGAAATGACTACGTGGGGTATAAATTACCTGATCGAAGGCAATTGCTAGTTGATTTGAGAAATTCCTCGAAAATGCGTTGGAGAAACCAGAAGTAGGGTTTAATGAATGTAAAAGTTGTAGAGGAGTCAGAGAGACTGACGAGGACTTGGTAGTATCTCTGAAATTATGATATTTTCACCATTTAATTATGTGATCAGCAGAATGCAAGCAATATTGACGCATAAAGTTACAAAATAAAGAAAGTTTTAGGACAACTTCCGACAATTAACAGTACTTGCTCCTAATATTCTCTTCTTTTTTCCAAATTCTGATCGATTGACCCAAAGAACAAGGAAAATCATTGTTGAAAAATTGGAATGAACCAGTTGAAGATTTACCATTTAGTTCTATTTGCAAAAGCCTTCAAACTCTGTCAAAGTCTAAATTAATTCCCAAGGCAAACAAAAACAGGATATTCTTCCAAATGATGTCTCTTCTGCATCTACCAAGATCTATCAGACCACTAGAATAGAAAATGGAGACACGCACTTTGGTTAGTAAACAAAAACCATATATGAACACCAACTGTCTTAATATTACTGACGTTTTTTAGGTCAAACGTGTCGAGCTAATAATAGTCTCTTGTCAAATATTTGTTACGTCGTCTACAGTAGCATGTGCACGCAAACTATTAGGTTGGCAACTAAGTCATTGCCGATTTCAAATAAGAAGGCAAATTCGGAATTTTTGTTTAAATATATAACTTTATTCAATTAGATATTGGCCGTTCTTGTCGATGACCTTTTCCATCGTTCTGGCAGAGTAAAAATTCCCCCTTCGTAAAATGTCTGGTCTTTGCTATTAAAAAACTGAATTAGGTGTGATCCGACATCATCCACGTTGTTACAAATTTTACCATTTAAAGAGTTTTGCATGGAACGAAACAAATGGTAATCCGAAGGCGCAAGGTCAGGGCATGAGTTCAAAATACAAAATTCCTTTGTGATCCCCCCACCAGACTACTGACAGCATAATCTTTTTTGGTGAATCTCTGCTTTTCATACTGTTTGGGCTGGTTGATCTTGCTTCACCCATGGTCTCTTGCGAGTAACATTCTTATAAACTATCCACTTTTCGTCGCCAGTAACTAGGTTCTTCAGAAATGGATCATTCTCATTCTCATTGCGTTTCAGTAGCGGCAAATCACAGATGCTAATCCGTTGCGTCAAATGAATTTCCTTTAACTGGTGAGGGATCCATAAATCAACCCAACCAAGGGTTTTTAATTTTTATCTTCAATGTATGTATGCGACTCATTGAGCTTCTCTGCAATATCTCGTGTTGTGCTGTGACGATTTGAATCGATAATGGCCTTGATATGGGTTTCATCCACTTCGACTGGGCGGCCAGATCGTTGTGAATTTTCCAGTGAAAAATCACCGGAACGAAATCTTTCAAACCAATTTCGACACTGCCTTTCTTTGAAGGCTTCATCTCCATATACGGCACATAACTTCTTCTTTTGTGCTTGCGATGCGTTCTTGCCTTTTCGGAAGTAATACAATAAAATGTGTTGGAAGTGCACGTCCTGTTCTTTCATTTTTAAATTGGGATAAAAACAAAACTAAAGAACTAAACAAAAAAAATTTTTACTAATTAACCTAGAAGCCCATACAGTAAGAAAAAAATATAGGTTAGATGCTCTGGCCACGTTAACAAAACAAAAGAAAGTATAGAGTGAATCCGTCAACAAAAACGGCAATGACTTAGTTGCCAACCCAATATTAAATATGTTAAGCGACTGCAGAATCGAAGGGAATAGTACATCTCTAGGTGAAAAACAAATTTTTTCACATCAGTTTTATTGGGAATTTCTTAAAGAAGAAATGTAGTCTTTGCGTATTGTCAATCTAATTCCCGCTCCGTTTCTTATAAAACTTTGTGTTATTACCTAGTTTTGCTACATTATATCAATCATATCGTCTTAAAAGAAAACATATCGAAAAAATGTATCCATTAGAAGAAAAAAACTTAGGTCAGAGATAAGGGAAGTTGGAATACATCAAAACGGGTTCCTAATGAATCTACCAAGCTTTTAACCTGAAAACAGGTTCTTCCTGGGTGCATGGGTCTAATTCAAATGAATTCTGATGGGATGTAAGAACATCTGTGAAATTCTTCGAGTTCGTACGCGCCCTTTCCTCTGTATCATCTAAGCCATATTTGCTGCAACTACTAGGTTCAATTTATATAAATATTTAATGAGGGTGACATCGAATTACGCTTACCGAGAGGGCTTCGTTAATCTGATTTGCAGCGGGATCCATAGATAGGATGAGACTGGAGCCAGGCCAGAGGAGTCGATTGAACACCTTAACAACCAAATTGCCCAAAGTTTCCTCCAATTCTTCACTTCCTGGTTCCTCATCACTCTCATTCAAAGTTGCTGGAGTGTTTTGTTGGTTATCACTTCTCGAGCCAGAATTGGATGAGACACTGCCAAAGGATAAGCGTTTTCTGGAACCATGAGCTTCTACATTTGCCGATATGGGCATTTCAGCCGATGGAGATGCCTAAAATTACAAGGGGTCTCGATGGTTAAAACCTCGTAAAGAGACAATTAAGGTGCTATTGGTATTTGTTTGCGTTTCAACCACATGAAAATAAAATTAAGACGACATACAATAAGGGAGCTTGCTGAGAGAGTACTCCGTTTTCTACGAGGAATAAGTCGTTGAGAAGAATTTCCTTGTCGTGGATAACCGACAGAAGGTGGGAAATGTAGACGGCTGGTGTTATCTGTTTCTTCTTCATAAATATCAACCTCATTGCTCCGTGGGCTCATACTTGCTCTAGTATCCCTGGAAGGTATAAAATATTGTGTATGCACAACAACGAAGTATTGAAATCCACCATTAAAAACAATTAAAAGGGACTTACGTTTTCTTTGATTTGATTAAGAGATCAATTAGAGATTCATAGAAAGCTGGAATAGCTTGAATATCCCTAAGAGCAGTGCTTTTGTCATCCTCTAAGACGTCTAAAAGGAGAGAGATGGCAGAAATTCGCGAACGAATTCGGCTCAATCGCAAAACTGAGAGGTATTGGAGAAGACCAGCATAGTCCTTTCGGAAAGCTAGGCAAAAGAAAGTAATAGGATCAGTGTACATATATAAATAGCATTAGAGGCGTAATGATATTCCTGTTCGTTACATACTTCTGCCAATCAGATCATAAAGTAATTGACAAGTTTCAGAGCAGTAGGCCAACTCTTGAATGGGTGCCGTCTGGGCTAGGAAACCACGAAATCCGCCGGAATGTGTGAAATAGATATTTGTTTTGATCCTTTCTGGTACGCGTTCTGTTGCTGCCAGCTTGCAGAGCAACTAAATTTGAGAGTAATAAGATTGCATATAACATTGCCAGCCCTCTCTCTCTGCCTCTCGTAAAAAAGGTTTATGACACGCGTTTATTACTATCGAAATTGGGAGCTTAGAGGCTGTAGGTTTCTTCAAAATAATTTGTCCAAATTTTTTTGATTTTTAGGGTCCTTTGCAGAGCCAGCATTTTTAATCTCTTAACAATGCGCCGTCCATATTTGTTCATTAAAAAACCTCTTTATTAAGTTAAAACCAGCTAACCATTTACCAAACACTATTTCTGACTGATTTTCGCTTGATTTATGGATTCTCTTTAATAATGCCTTCATGGAAAAGCACTTTAACTCGTCCATGAGTTGGAACCTACGCAACTCATAGAAAAGTTCTAAATTCATCCCGTTTTATCTATTAGTTGTGATCCATACTCCGACCTCTTCTGACTTTCACCGTAGTAACGCTTTAGAAAATCAGAGTAGTAGAATAGCAGTCATAGAGACTGAAACCCTCACCAATTGTTAAGGAATAATCTGCGAGCATCAGCTGCAACTTATGAAGCTGGGAATTAGATTCCACAACAGGGGTGTGCGATGGACTTACCTCCACGTGGTGCACCCTGGGCAACGTATACTCATACAGCAAAAAGTCTATTAACTGGCAGTTTAACGTCTGACTTCAAACTGTCATGACCCCACTGTATGTCACATTCGACTACTTCCACAGTATTCACCTTTTTTCTACCTTTTCTACCTTCATATTTGAAACACTCTTCTGTTCCCCCCCCCCCTTCTCGAATTTTTTTAACTTTGATGTTCCTTCCCCTCTGTGAAGCCTGATGTCAACTAATGGGCCTACGATAACTATCAAAACGCCTGCCATTTGATATAAATAGATTCCACAACAACCACCAGCCCAGAATTTAGGTCCTATTCGAGCGCTTTTGATAGTCTGATTCCTATTCCCTATTTTTCTTCACGGGTATGTTAAAAGTACATTTTCTACAGTTTGCATAAGTTATCCACCGAGAGGACAAGCAAATGACTTCAACAAAAGCAACAATCTGAGATGGTAAACACTAGCAAATAAGATAGAAGGTGTGGGTGAAAAAAAACAAACTTTGAGGGCATTTTCCTTTGCTTTCATGTGCATCCGTTCACTTGGAGCCAGAAGAACGTAGTAAATCTTCTCTAACATGCTTTGTTCATAGGCCAAATTCAACAAAGAATCACCCGGAGGGGTGCTATCAAAGACGTGAGCGATGAGAACAATCACCTCCGATATCTAAAATGCAGATTTTACGGTGTGACAATTAATTTTGAGTATTTACTTCGTACATGCAATATCAAACTCACCACAATAGGATGAGCCGTCGATTCCAGGAAAGCGAAGAGCAATTTCAAATCACTCGCAGTGGCAGTCTTAGCGTAGAGAGTTCGAATAAGTGAATAGATTCCATGTCGAATATACTTTAGTAGAATATTTGAGGCTTCAAGTAATGACACCTCCATCGCAGGCCTTGAGTCATCTGGAAGCAAAGGAATAACCCGTTTTAAGGCGTCATTCATCGTCTTCTTCGGTCTGAAATAGAAGTTTTATGAAGGGCCATAAATATACATACACATACATCCTAAATTAAAAGACTAGGATCAACTTGCGCAAAGAAGAATCCAACTGCAATAAGGAGTTGATCAATAGGAAGATGACCTCGATAAATGTAGTTTAGTGCCTTGGCTTTCTTCTGTAGACGTCTGATATGTTGAAGTGTGGCGACGGGTGAACAACGCGACCAAAGTCCCCAGTCTATAAATAGCTGCTTGATAAGAAAATGCCACCGAACTCGGAAGGTCTCCTTGGCAGCGCGTCTCTCTTCAGCAACCTGACTGGATGAATCGCCAGAAGCTTCGACTCGAGTCCCAAGATCGTTCAGTACGGAAGAAGCACACATATCCAGCATATTGTGGAAGCTTATCACTGCATTGCTATTCAATTGCATGGGGTCGATCTGATTAAAAGGCAAAACAACCCATTTAGTCGTTGACTAGTAATTGCGCACTTGATTGATCTCTGTCAAATCACATTTTGAGCTAGATCAGATTAACCATGCTTATATCATCCATGCTCCTCAGATCACTGTGCTCATACAACCATGGAGGACAAAAGGAGCTGAAGTGGTAAGACTGGCCATCATAATTAAACAAAAAAGTATTGTAGTTAAAAATGCGTTCAGGAATGCAGATGATTAGTCATTAAATACGAATTTTGGAATATAAACTAGTCAAAAGCAAATAATGCTCCATCAGAGTTAAAAAAATGGAATGATATGTCGCTTTACCATTAGTTGGGCATTCTTTAAGCCGCTTATCCTTAATGTAATGCTTCCGCATATAATGCAAGAAGTAAATAGCAGTTTATAACGACCGAGATATGAACATTTAAAATAATTTAACAGAGTGGAAGTTAAACTCTGGAAGTATTTGCCTAATACTCTTAACTAGTTTTCCAAATTTTAAGATATTAACGAACAAGGGCTTGTTAAAGAAAAGTTAACTCATTGCATTCCCCCATCCCCATTCTCAAGCAAAATGATAAGCTAAATCAATAATCAATAAGTGGAAACAGAAACTTTAAAGAAAAATATATTGGGAGGACTGCAATAAACTAAATTAATGGAAATCGATAATAGCTTGCGCAAAAGATGGCATTGAATCACAAAATAAAGCATTAAAAGAGTAACTGAAAGTCACTTTCTTATCCAACCTGAATTTGAAAAAAGACACTGATAAAGCTTTTTGTTATTAAATCCTACCATTATTAACAAAACGTTTCATCAAATCATATGGTGCTTACAGAATTAAGTAGGTGACCCAAGACGAGAATAACAGATGGTTGAAGAAAGCTCTGTCGCACCCTTGTATCAGCTTTAAAGACCGTTTTGAGAAAATTGAACATATGCATAATCTGACTTGACGAACGACCAGTTTCTAAAGTTGTGATAATTAAAACGCATCATTTAGGTAAAACTTGTTTCGAAATTGCCAGGTAAATTTGAATACCTGGTATGTTAAAAACCGCGAAATTTGTAGGATTAGTAAGGAAATATGACGCTAACTGCAAAACTTCATTGGCACCTTCCAGAAGCGTGTGCTGCGGTGTTTTATCTATATGTTGACTGAATGGAGGAGATACCTTTAAATCAGGAGGATTTATAACCTCAGTAGAAGTGTCAGCTGGAGAATCTGTAGTCCTTAATGCCTGCTGGAATTCCTTCAAGGCCCCAAGTAGATCTTCTAGAACATCGGGATTTGTTTGAACATTCACATCAGGCTCGGTTGGACAATTTCCAACGAGTTCAAATAACGGCAGCAGAAACTGGATTCCACCAAGTCGGTAGAGAGAATCCTGCGTAAACAAAATCATAAAATGTAACACTCTACCTTAACAATTTCAGTACAAGCAACATTCTAATTTCAAAGAGCATACCACTAGAGTGGTTGATGTGATTCGAACAGCACCGTGCAGGAATGCTGGAGCAAAGTAAGGTACACTGGCACTCTCACTTTCTGGAGACTGCTTGGGTTGACCCGCTCCACTTAAGGCCAAATCAAAGCACTTTGTGCTCGCATTATTGACAGCTTTTGCATGGTAGTAGAACAGTACGCGACGCTGCGGATTTTGAAGTATAAGGTCTGTCACGAGGGTACAAGTGTTTTCACCTACAATGCGAAATAGTCTGATATAAAATAATCAGTTTAATATTAATAAATGGAGGTGATAGCAAACTACAGTAGGCGTCTGACATTCAGTGAGATTATTATTTGAATTCTGTTAAGCCAATTTTCCTCTTTCCAACAGTAAACAGATATAAAAATTTGTGGTTTTTAACTACACCAAGTGCAAAAGTGTTGAATGCGAAGTCTTTACAGAGTTTCTTAACATTTTTGATTCTCGGTAAAAAGTACAAACGTTACAATCTGATACACTCAGCTTAAACATTATTATTACTATTATTATATCAAATGGCAGGCTTTTTGATGGTTATCATTAGCCCCTTAGTTGATTTCAGGCTTCACTGGGAGGAGGAGGAATATCAAAGTGACAAAAAGTCGAATGGAGGGGGGGGGGCGACAGAATAATGACTCACAGATGTAATAGAGACAGACACAAAGGTAGAAAAATGGTGATGTGAGTACTGTGGTAGCAGTCGAATATGACCACATACAGTGGAGTCATGGTAGTTTGAAGTCTGAAGTCAACTGCCAGTTAATAGACCTTTTGGCCAAGGGTGCACCACGTGGAGGTAAGTCTATCGCACACCCCCAGCTTAAACATAAATTGATTAGAAGCAGCCTACTACTTCTCACTAAAAACTCAGAAATTCTCTAAGGGATGCTAAGGATTTTGCGAAAGCATCAAATTCATCAGAATACGAGCTCCCCATTCAGAAGTTTATAATATTCCAAAATAAGAAAGAAAAGAAATGAGGGTCTTTTCATGAACATTAGTCGATTGGTGGATGGCTATAATATTAGGGATCGACAAAGTGAGATCGAGCAAGCCTCTCAAGCTATCTACAGTCAAATTACCTTCAATTCAACTGATTAGGATGGAGATAAGCGGTGTGACTGAACAATTTTATAAATGGATATAGAAGGCATCAGCTTTAAAATAATGAATAAAGTTTGCTAGGGGGGGGGGTATATTTGCATACCAAAATAGATTCGTTGAAATGCGTTCATGCTGCAGTAATCGAAACTCGTCGACCAATCGAGTTGATTGAACCACTGGCCATACCTTATCTTCTTTCGGATCTATCACAGGGCCCTCAAAACACAAAATTAACGCTAAATCAGTGTTATGAATGGGAAATAATCATTAGAAGTTCACGCTTGTAGGAAGGCAGTTTGACATAACAAACGTCTGAAAAGTCCCTGGCAAATATCAGTGGTTTATATAACGTGAGTAAGTGCAAAGCACATTTGGACACTTATTTATCAGTACTGATAGCTAGACAAATCTAAGAGGAAGAACAAGGAGAAAAATAACTGTAAATACTATACCCCTACGAAAACATTGTTTAAGGATGCTTGGTAACTTAAGCTGAATACACATGCATACATTCTCCTAATGGAATGAATACCCAAAATAGCTAATTTTAGCCCACAAGACACATCATGGGAATTCACTCTTCTCAAGGTGAATATTGAACTTTATTTATTGGAAATGGTAACAAAAGCGAGATAATTTCATTTCGTTACTTCATTATTCGGTGTGGCAGGGTGTTGAGATCCTACTGTTAACAAAATATGACTCATTATTAGCTCTCCTCGTCACCCGTGGGTGAAGACTATAGTAGTCTGCAATTCCAAGAGGGCATTTGAAATCGATCTAAGTCTCCCTTTGCAAAAAAACTGGAGAGAGGCATTACATTGCACTCGGAGGAATACGCACATCCGGAAATCATGGCAACGTGAACAATTTTAGTCTGAGCGACTCGAAGAGTGTTCTTTGAACTGCTGATTTCCAAGTCAAGCCATCTATTTTTCTGACAGTTATGCTCTGGATTGTGATAACAGTTTTTTTCCTCTTAAGAAAAGAACCACATTGTTTTGGCTTCCATAGAATGCTTTACTTTGCTTAGAAGTTTTTTCGGCTTTAGATAGACGGCGGCTTCCACGGGACCTTTCCAGTGGCAACTTAACACCTGCGACAATTGTATGAGCTAAATGAAATCTTTAGCTCGAAGTAGTTTAAACTGCCATTTCCTCCAATTAATGCATTAGTGGAATTATTTGCTTTTTGGGCATAATGATAACAAATTTGTCCTCTTTTTAAAGTCAAAAATTACCAATGACAAAATAAGGCCAATTATTTTAAAGGGCACAGAAGATCATATTAGTGGTGAACGGCGAAAAAAGGACAAAATGTCCATTGCGACCTTTAACGAAACTTGGGGACAATTTTACAAAAAAATCGAACCAAATCCTTTACCTACCTATTCGTACACTAATGCATTATCAAGAAACAAAATAGCAAAAAGGTTAAGTTGAGAAAAATAATAGAAATAACTTTTAACATTCCTTAGGTAAAGGAAAGGCCAAACGTTTTACCCATTGATATTACTGAAGCTCTTAAGCGCAAAATATTAAACGCCTTATATTCCGCAGAGCAAATCTTGTCACTGTTTTCACCAGCACATTTACATCGTGGATCAAGCGACTTAATACCCTAGTTCCATTTTAATCTAGCAGTTACAACAGCCCATGGGATAATCGTTAATTGAATCGTGGAACAAAGTTGTCAACAATCTAACAGTGTTCTGATAGTTAAAATCAATAATAGAAAGAAGAAGATTTGTAGCCCACTAAACAGTCAGTAGGAATTCGATCGATCCTACATGGCCTTGAAATTACGGTGAGTGAATAGTGGCGTAGCAGTGCCCAGTAGAAATCTAAACCCTCACCCGCCTTCATTCAAAAACAGTGTTAAAAGCCTTTTTTAAAAACAATTAATGTCCTCTATGCGCTTAGCATTACTATTAGAAGTCGGTGTTCAAATTCCAAATAAAAAAATTACCCCAACGAATGAAAAAAACTCCTAAAACGAAGTTACTCCTGTCATACTAATAGTAAAAATTTTGGCGATTTCATGGAGCATGCAATCTTCCCCTACTAGGTGGATGGAACTTACTCTATCAATTATGAACAAGATGATAAATAAAGACGCCAGCACTTGAGACCATTTTTAAGTGCAATTTTCATCAAAAAGCCTATGATGCAGAGGTGTAGCTGAGTAGGCCACACAAAAGTGTTTGAGCATCGAGAAATTCAAAGAAAAAGTTGTGGTGAGTAGAGTGGACCAAAATACCCCAAAATTCTTTAATTCCCTTCATTATTCCAACAAATATTTGTAGAAAGCGATATATATATGGATAATGCGGTTTAATTGGATTATCTGATTTTTTTGAAATTAGTAAACTTCCTATAAAAAGCTCTATTTGAATTAATATTCAAATAATGAGCATAATTATCGCGAAGATGTAAATAATGGAAACCAGTTGCTTAAGTGCAAAGAGAACGAAAGATCAATACAAGGACATGGGTTGGATAATACATTTCTAATCAATTTAGGACACTATTCATGCGAAATTCGAATTTCATACAAAACATCATATTAAATTCTTTATTTTAAAAGAACTAGATTAGAAGTTAACTGTTCACATTTTGGAACCAAAGAGTTATTCGTCATTCTGTATAATCATGATATGATATGACGGGCACAGAAAATTGCTTTCTTCAAATCGATTTAGAAAAGAGCAGCATTAAACGGAAATCAATGGAGAGGATCAACACGGTAATTATTTTGGTTTCATGGTTTCAAAATAGCTGGTGTTAAATTACTATGATCGGATGTTTGAGCTAAATGTTTGTATCACACAAGTAAAGCTATTGATATCTGTTTCGTAATCGGATTCTGCTTGAGTTGAAAGTACATAAAAATATTTAATCCCTTTTGAACTACAAACGAACCACTTACTCACTGGGTTAGACCGAGTGATTACTAACAATAATCGGGAGAAAAAATATATAATATGAGAAATTTCGATTAGAAAAGACGCAGGAAACGATTAAAAAGCGATTTTTAGGCCTGGACTTTAGCCTCAGTCTCTGCTAAGTAAACTCAAGAATAAAATCGTACGACTTAGAAATATGCCACAACGCACACTTACCACCTTGAACTAGCCATTGAATGAAGGCTTCTGATGCCGACTCGTTAAAGACAACTGCATAGGAAAGGCGTCCACGGAATGAATTCAACGGACCCCATAGAGGTCTTTCCTCTCCAATTCCAATATTTGTAAAGTTTGAAGGTCTTTTCGTTTGCGAACTGCCGCTGCCAATTCCGAAGGAAGACCAAATGGAGGGCTGTTTGACAGATGGGGCTTTGGCTCCTAGACACTTCGCCGACAATTTCAATGCGAGACTGGAATAACACGTCTCTTCCACCCACTGTGGACAACCACCGTAGTGAAATAGGAGCAAATCCTGTTGGGGGGGGGGGGGAGAGGGGTGGGGGTAATATCAATTATAGCATTTATACGTAGGTAAATTGCTGAGTTCATCTAGATGTCGCAAGTGGAGCCGTGCGAGAAAAAAATGGATATCTTGTTGCATTTAAGCTCGCTCTAAACAAATGAAGACCTCGTAGATAAGTTCAGGATCACTTTGTCTTTGAATTCAACTAGAATCCTGCTATACGTTCATTTAATTCTGCCAAGTTAGTTTAATCACTATTTTCTAACAGGCCTTCGTTAGCATGACAATTAGAGGAAGATATCTTTCACGTACTTATTTAATGTCCCCCCATTAAGACCCTAGAACTTCTGATTTCTTTTTATTTTACGAAAAATGTCTACTTCTGAAACTCTGTATTGAACTAAAAAACACCTTGGTTAAAAGAAATCTTAAATCACTGCTTCCTTGTTTATAAAAAAGTGATTTTAATAGTAACGTTTTTTCAAATAAACTTGCTTCTTTAATGAGAGGATAACGGAATTCCTCTTCAAAAACCTTGTCGTCGTTCACGTAAACTGTGAGAGTGGATTTTGCGAAGAAGCCCTTGGTGCTTGAGAAAACCAACGTGAGAGCCGTCCACTTGTTCCATCGAATTAGAGATGGACCGCATACCTGAATGATGTGAAAAGATACTGAAAGCTATCATAATTGAGAAAGCTTAAATTAGTTATGTGCTCATTTTCTAAACGTGTAGAACTATATCTTTATAATCTGCAAATGCATTGCTCTAATTCGTGTCAATAAGGAAGCACCTCGAAGCATACTATTAGTGAGAATACCGCAATCACAAATTCCTCGAAACCTGATTATCAATAATATGAGGTAAGGTCAATAATATATATATACATATTTGTTCAAGTATTTTGTCAATTCTGTAAAGTTACTTGGGGTCCCGCCCCCCCCCCCATTACCGCATACAGCAAAAGATCCAGTAACTGCAAGAACAGTGCTAGCCATTGACTAGAACCAGTTACGGCAATCACATACTTCGTTACCACTTAACAAGGCTCTATCTTTTCAGTTCCGCCCATCCGTGTAGGGTTGAAATTTGAGGGGAGAGCCAAGTGGGTGTGCGATAGACTTACCTCCACGTGGTGCACCCTGGAAATATGCCTTCACTATCAACATCTTATTTGGAAGCGGAGGGGTGTGTGCGATAGACTTACCTCCACGTGGTGCACCCTGGACAGCGTGCGATAGACTTACCTCCACGTGGTGCACCCTGGGCAACTTTCAACCCTTGCTGGTTTTCTAAACAATTATTCTTAAGAATACGATAGACTTACCTCCACGTGGTGCACCCTGGACAACGTACTTTCAAATGGCAGGCGTTATGATAGGTATCATGGGGTGTGCAATAGACTTATAAACTTACCTCCACGTGGTGCAGCCTGGGCAACGTATACCCCTCCACGTGGTGCACCCTGGCCAACGTATAATCATACGGTCTTACCTCCACGTGGCGCACCCTGGGCAATGTATACTACACCTTACCTCCACGTGGTGCACCCTGGGCAACGTATTCTCATTCGGCTACCTCCACGTGGTGCACCCTGGGCAATGTATACTCATACACCTCCACGTGGTGCACCCTGGGCAACGTATACTCACGATAGACTTACCTCCAGGTGGTGCACCCTGGACAACGTATACTCAAATGACATACCTCCACGTGGTGCACCCTGGGCAACGTATACTCATGTGCCAAAAAAGTCTATTAACTGGCAGTTGACTTCTGACTTCGAACTACCATGACCTCAAACTACCATGACCACACTGTATGGCATATTCGACCACTTCTCTGTATGCATATTTGACCACTTACACAGTACTACATCACACTTTTTCTCTAAATTTTCAACCTTCGTCTTTGAAACACTCTTCAGTTCCCCTCCCCTCGACTTTTTTCACTTTGTTGTTCCTTCCCCTCTGTCAAGCCTGAAGTCAACTAAAGAGCTAATGATAACCATCAAAACGCCTGCCATTTGATATAAATAAATAAATAATCTTTTCAGTTCCCCCATTTACTCCAATAGATGAAAGAGATCAATTTCCAATTCTAGTTCTTATTCTCTACATTTTTTCGAAGTGGGAGATTTAAGTTCAACCCATACATAAATGCCACTGAATATGAAAAATAATGTAAACAATCCAGTTTTCAAGTCATAGTAAAATCAACTAAATTACTAATAGACCAAGTTAAAAATAGTCACCACAGAGTAAGGAAATTTAAAACTATAATAAAATAAAATAATAATAATATGGAAAGTAACCGAAGTAAGTTTAAAAAAATAAGCTGGTTTCACAAATCCCCTCAATCTCCTTGTAGTTGTGCAATCATGACGATCTTTCGTTATTATGGATATATTTATATTTATATATATCAAATGGCGGGCATTTTGATAGTTATCATTAGCCCTTTAGTTGACTTTTGGCTTTACAGAGGGGAAGGAACATCAAAGTGGAAAAAAGTCTGGGGGGGAGACAGAAGAGTGATTCAAAGATGTAAAAGAGACAGACACAAAGGTAGAAAAAAGGTGAGGTGAGTACCGCGAAAGTAATCGAATATGACATACACTGGGGTGATGGTAGGTTTGAAGTCAGAAGTCAACTGCTGGTTAATAGACTTTTTGCCGTATGCGTATACGTTGCCCAGAGTGCACCCCGTGGAGGTAAGCCTATCACACACCCCTTACTGGATATATAAAAGTAGTATTTCAAGCGTCATTTGACGAGAGGTGAGGAGAGCAATGTTATGCAATATGAGGAGGGGTCTCTGATTGGCCAGCACACTAATGGTAATTTTGTCCAATTATTAGGTCAAATTAAAGACTTTTGACCGGAAGGGAAAGGGGTGGGGGGGGGGGGGGGGGGGGCGGGTAGAACTGAGTGCTCTATTTGAAATACAATAAGTACCGTATTTAAATTAGGCCTAAATTACCTTTGACATTTTGGGAAATTTAATTTCATTGGAAATAGTCATGGAAAGAAAATTGTAGGCATTCTTTAAGATTTTGAAAATAAACAAGCAAACAATATGCTTTCGCAAATTACAATTCGATCTGTTACGTTATCTCTCAATCTTATGATATTTCTAGAAAGGGAATAAAGGAAGGAGCTAGTCACTGCTTTAGAATATTAAATAAAATCAGTATTATTTCAGAAGTCTCTACAGAATACGGGGAGTCCGTTTGAGATAATTAGAAAATCAATAAGTGCGTTCTAAAATAAGGATAATGGGCAAATGAAAGTAGTAATTGCCTTCAACTGAATGACCACGCAACTGATAGTCAGAGGGAAGTATGCATGAAGTCATATCTTTAGATTCAACTATAAGCTTCAATATAAATCAGAGTTCTATCACGATGTGACTTAAAGAAAAACACAAAAGTAAACCGAACTTTAATTTATAATTCGAATTGTATGCAAACATCAACATGGATAATCATTATTCACTTTTCCGATAACAGCTATTGACAGTCCATTAGCTGGAGTAAATAAGTGAAAAGTTGCTTCCTAGCAGAATTACTAGTATTGATCTAAATTGTCTATTCTTTCTAAAACGCTTATTAGTATTAGGCAATAAGCTGTGAGACCTAAGATGGTTGCGCATCCAACCACCACATGCAAATAAAATGGTAACTCATTGAGCCAAAAGTCAAAATAATAAAAAGGACAGAACATATCTACTTGAGGAAGGTATAACAGATGATGTGCTCAAGGGACTGCTCAATATCAACCAAATGAAATAGCATACAGAATTTCTATTGGTTCGAAAGATAACGTAGTTCTCGCCACCTTATTGACCCATCACTTATCTACGAACATAAACAACCCGTTTGACACCCATATAGCGTGTCGAATTACATTCTAATACCACCAACTCTTAATACTTTATTGGGGAATTCGGATTTTTTCCGACTCATTCTCATATAAAAAAATTATTATTCAATATCTAATATAAGATAATAATTCCAAGGTCAAATTCACCTACAACCATGAAAAGAAAATAAAGAGTATTTGAATTGCACTAACATACACACTTCACATTAAAAATCCTGAGTAATATCGATTGTTGACAACACTTTCGATCAATACAAAATTCTTCACCTGCATGAAAGAAAAAGATTAAAAGCTAAAACCCTTTTTTGTGTTAGTAAAGGCGCTATTTTCTTTTTCGCCTTTCACTAACGTCCTTGTAAGGCGCAATCTTTCGAGACCATAGTTGAAGTACGTTTACTTATTGGTTTCCTTTTATCTTTAATTAATTGAATTAAAGCATAGAGGCTTTTATTCGAGTTAAACAAAGGCCCAATTTGCATGTTTTCAAGTACTCCGTTCATGGCGTCTTGATAGTCATTCTGGAAAAACACAAACATTAAATACTCTAAAACTTATTAACAAAATCAGTCAATGGTAGTCTAAGGAGCATGTTCCAACCAGTTCTTTAGTAAGTACACCATATATATATATATATATATATATATATATATATAT